AATCCTATATAACATCACCCCATGCTAGTTTCAGGTAGATGAAGTGCTGTATCTTCTGAGTCTCTTTACTCTCTCGATATGCTGCTGTGTCCAGACTGGGCACCACAAAAAGGATCTGGACACAACTGAAAAATGTGTCCAGTAGTGAGGACAAGGATAGAAAATGCAACCTGAAAGAGAATAAAACAATGCCTGAGGACAATTGTCCTCTGTCTTCAGGACAATTGTGCCAAGAGTGGAGCTGCAGCATCCAGGATCAGGGTAACAAAGCAAATGTGAACATATGTGGGTTGGGGTTTGCTCTTATTGTTTCTTTTTCTCCTGGGCAGAGACAGTGTTGAGCAGAGACCTTTGGCTTTTTATTGAAGGGGAAATAAAATCCTGGTCTGTTCTCCAGGCAATAAAGGCAGCCCTTTGCAGGAGTGGAAAGGTTTGCAGTGTAGTGCCTGCAGGAGCTCACTGCACAGGCTGGAACTGATCCCAGTGGAGCTTTTCCTTTTGCACAGCCCTGCCTTCTCTGTGGAAGTGCTTTTTTGTTAAACAAACAAACATTAAAACCCTTTAGCTGAGGATAAATAAAAGCAAAATTATTAGACTTCCAAACAAACCCGAGATGTGTGTCATAGCTTCAGTCTATCATTATCTTTTACATAGCTGTTCATGCAAATGTAACATTTTCATGGCTGTAAACCCTTCTCTGTTACACGAGTAAAATATTGATCTCCCACTAACCACACAGGTGAAATGAAGCATTCTTTTGCCAACTTCTCTTCAAAAGGAAGGTTTCCTTTCAGGATCCTGACCTCCAAGTCAAATGTTGATTGAGATGTGAGGAAATGTACATTTATTCCTCTGTTAATTACTGTTGGGTTTTATTACAGGTTTGTTTTGCACCAGAGTGGCAGCTAGAGCTTCTTTTCTGTTATATTTAATATATTTCTGTTATATTTCTGTTCCTGGCTGATTTGCAGGTTGGTGGGTTGATTCCTTTTTCTTACAAGTGCAAAGAACTTTCAAACAGTCACAGCAGGCTGAAACATTCTGGTTTTCCAAATCAGACAGTCGACTCTCCTTCCTTGCCAGACTCATGAACTTACCAGAGATGAGATGCAGACAAAATCTACTTTTTCCTTGCCAGAACTGCCTAGTTCCTTGGAAATTGGAATACATTTTTATGAGAACAGCTTTCAGCACTTCTTTCTGACCAGACACCAAGTTCAGACTTCCATGGACATCTTCTTTTCGCCCTGCATGCCCCTGCTCCTGCAGGAGGTCACCCAAATCACAGTGACACCTCCTGACTCAGCTTCCACAGAGGCTGGGGATGGGTTTTGAGCTTCAATTCGCCCTCTTGTGGACTTACCTGTCCACAGGTTCCTATGGACAGGTTGTCCTCAGAAGCTGTGGCTGTCCCTGGATCCCTGGCAGTGTCCAAGGCCAGGTTGGATGGGGCTTGGAGCAGCCTGGGATAATGGAAGGTGTCCCTGCCCATGGGACCAGATGGTCTTTAAGGTCCCTTCCAACCCAAGTCATTCTCTGATTCTATGAAAAATACCTTTTTTCCCTAGAGGACAGCAGCTGTGGGGTCATGCCCAAGGGCTGCTGCTTCTCTTTCAGCTTTCAGGGACTTTGGGAAAGGGCTTGTCCAGGCAGACACAGCAAATCCTACAGTCACTGCATGGACACAGCCTGAATCACCATCAATAACACCCCACAAATGCATTTTCCTCTGTGGAGGGGTGGTCTGCACCATTAGCTCCATTTCAGAGGGGAAAGGCAGATTACACTGCAGTGCTGTTACCACAGTTCATCTCCTCAAATATCCACATGGCAAACTGTCTGAAAATCACTGTGGTCTCTGCATAAACACTGAACAGAAAAGGAATGAACAGAAAAAATATTTAGTTTTCTTCTCCAGCATGTTATGCAGTATTTTCAAGCTACTAAATAGAATTCTTTACCACATGAAGTAAATTTGACTCGTATGCTTTAGCTCTGACTCATTTTCCTTCTAATCAGTTGCTAATTATTACCACTTCCTCAGAAAGTTTATGGGGACAGATGCTGCAGCACCATGACTACTAAACAAAACCCTGCAAAATTGGAGAAAAACTTCCCAGCAGATGTAGATAGCTTAAATTGATGTTTCTTTCTTTACTTTCTCTGCCCAATTAGTCAATTTACATATGCACTAGTTTTAGCAGCAGTTTTATGCAATAAACAATCCTTAACTGATCTAGTTATTGCATATTTACAGAGGAATGGTACAAAGAGGCTGAACTGGCTCAAATCCTGGGGCCAGAGTGTCCAGCCCTGACTTCCCTGCCAGCATCTTGCACAAGAGATGGGGATTGGGGATTGAGGAGACCTGAAAAGGACTCACACAGTCACCTACCAGCACTCAGACTGAATTCTCACTGCCCTCATCATGCCCTGCTCTGGGCTGGTGACTTCTGCCTTCATCACTACTGTTCCTCCTGGGTATTTGCAGCTGCAGCTTTAATCAGTTTAATAGATAATCAGTGCAGTTACTTCTGCAGTGCTTTTCTGACATAGAATAAGAACCTGTTCATAATCTAACCATGCCTTACTAACGTCCCTCTCACCAGAGGTTGGAAAGATGTGGTTTTAAAAATATCCTCAGATACCTTAGCACAAATACAAAATAGTTCTAGGTAAGGAGGGGGAAAATAAAAGAAAAAAGAAGAAGTTCTCTGGCAATGAAATGACAGAATTTTACTTCTTGGCTTTTAAGCTACAAAAACCAGACAATTGTTAGTCATGACCGTTTTTTACAGCTCAAGACCTTTCCCTTATGGAATAAGTGAACTTGCCTTTCAAAACCACCTCCAAGTGTAGCACACGTAGCCATCTACTCAGCATCACACACAGCAACTTTCCATTTCAGAGGCTCCAAAATACTGAAAATCAAGCCAGAACGTCCAATTTCCCTGATATAGCATCCAACACTTCATAAAACTTCCAGGAAACTGATATTTAAACAAACTGTGCCAAAGATTTTCTGTACAAAGTATTTTCAAGTGCATTTTGGAAAGAACTGTCTGCTGAAGCAACAAAGAATAGAAACCATTCCAGATCTATAACCCCACAATTCCTCAAAAATACACGGTAATCAATTGTCTTTAAAGAAAAACTTTGCTTCCACATCTCTGCTAATCAGTAATCTTAGTTCAAATATTTAATAATCATTTGGAGAATACTTTTGTCAGAAACCATCTGGGTAGCTGCATGGTTGGATACAAGGAAAGTAAATTCTAAATATTAATATTTTCCATATGATATTCATTTGGTTACCAATATCCACTGCACAGAAATTAATGACAAATTAAGAAAAGTCAGAAAACCACTTTCAAAGCGAATGGCTGCAATATGAGACCATCTCACATCCCACTGCATGGAGCTCAGGGCTAGAATTCTGGTCAAATATTTCACTAATCCCAGTGACCTAGGAAAACCATTTGCAGAATTTCATTTGCTTCTTTCCTAATGCCCACACAAAGAAAATTAATGAGTTTGCATATTAAGAGACCACAACAGCAAGCAACAGCAACAAAGAGAATCAATCAGCTCTGCAAATTGTGCAAGCGCTTGTTTTGAAATAAAAAGGCAGATGAAAAATAACTTTGGTTTTAAATACAATTTCCTGGCTTTGGGGCTTTTGTTTGATTTTTGCTAGTTGGGTTAGGTGGAGTGCTAGAGAAGGCAGGTGATTTTTAAACTCATTTTTGCTGAGAGCTGTGTGTCACCACTCTGTGCTACACAGGGCACAAGCAGACTGCAAAACAGATCACCACTTCAGCTGTGAGCTGGAACATCAGTCAACATCAGCAAGATGAGCTTGCAGTGCAAAGATGCTACAGAACACTTCTGCAAGCCCATCCTTTGGATTTTTTGAGCTAGAGAGGATTGCAGACTGCCAGTGCTTGGGCAGATTTTCACACGGGTGATTTTCCACAGCCATGGCACAAGGTGGTAATGATGTGTTCCATCCTGCCAGGAGACAATACTGCACTGAAGGGCACACTGCAATTAATTAATGCCACACACTGTGTAAAATTACAGTGATCCAGGTGAGCAAGGGCAGGCACTGGCAGCTGGGGGGATGGGAAGGCTCCTTAAATTGGGATAAACTGAACCAGAGCTGAAATACAGCTGGGAGGAGAAGGAGCCCTGTCAGGAATCCAGCTCTCGAGGATTTATTGCTGCATTTGGGTGGAATACAGCCCTTTCTTTAAAAACCATAAACTGCCAGCGACCCAGCTGGAGAGGTTTACTAAAACATTCTTTTTCTAAAAGAAGAGCCTGTTGAGGAATGACAGTCACCAAAACTTGTCTGCAGCCCTTGGATTTATTCTCTGAAATACATGTTACAACAGAGGAAAGAAAAGGCTGCTTAGCCTATTATTTACCCCATGAGTAATTACCTTGTAATTAGGTGTAGCTGATTGTTTTCCTTCACAACAAGACAAACCCACTCACCACCCCCAAGCTTCAAGGGCATCAATAAACATATGTATGAAGATTAATGCCTGTTAGAGGAATGCCCAATATCCCAGAGCCAAAACCAGGTCCATACACACACCAGCACTCCAGATTTGGATAAATCAGGCCTGTTTTAAAGAGCTTAAGGCCAGGTCTAAATGGTTACAGACATCCTGATATCTGAACCAGAATGGTATGAGATTCTGTGATCCACCATATGGCAATTTCTACAGTGGGCAAAGAGATTCCAGGCATTGGTGGAGTTGTAATTAAAACAGTAAGGAAAATGCATTAACATCTGGAAAGACATAGGCAATATGACAAATTCAACCCAGCCTTGCTGAGGAGAACAGATTGCACAAAAGCACAAACACAAGGCACATTCTGGAAAATAAGTCATGTGATTAAATGATGATTAAAAGGAGACCACCAGGCAGATGTGCCATGCAAAGAAAACCACTCCATGAGGGGAAGCAAAATGAGTCACTCACAAGAGGTACTGTTGAATTCTTTTAATAACACTAGGAAAATATCATAGTATTAAAGTCCTGCACGGGGTCCTCGGGAGGTTATTTGGGCTGGGATTCCTTTTGTGTTTATAAACCAAACTTTATTTCCCAATTGTGCTTTCTTTTACGCTGACTACTCCTTTACAATGGCATTTCCAGTTAAAACACAGCTAACCTATAAATACCTGAATGCCACAACACACATTGTGTGCATGGGTTGTGTTTTGTTTAAGTCTTAGAGGAAATGACAGGAAATCTACTCAACACAGGGAAGCAAACATCGATTCGTTAAGCAGGGGATGTAAAAGCCAGTAAAGAATACATTGCATACATAATACAGAAGGAAAAAAAAAAATTATCATCTGGAGTATGTGAAATTACACTGATTCTGCACCTTAAACCTAGTAGAAGTTACTCTGTTGGCCAATACTAATCCACTGAACAAGCAGAATGTCGGTCAGAAGTCTAACGTTTTCCTGTACCAGCAGAGAGAATACAAGCAGTCCATTGCTGTTAAAAGAAAACATGAAATCCAGCTCATGTTTCTGGTTAGGGGTCGATTTCCTCGGGAACTACTGTGAGCATCACATCTTCGTTGCCCCTGCGCACGACCATGTGCAAGGTACTGTCCTTTTTAATGATGTCACTGACATCACTGGCTGAGCTTATGGACTGCCCATTGATGCTTATAATCACATCGTTGTCCTTCAGGCCACCACTGAAAACACAAAGCAGCAGTGTGTTATTAGAATTGCAGTTTTATTTTTAGGGCGAAAAAAAATTATTTCTGGATTATTATTATTATTTCCCACCCAGCAGCAGCTCCGCAGCCATGGCAGCCGTGAGGAAAGAAATCAGGATTTATGGAGCAGTGAAGGTTACAATGAAGTGCAGAAACCTCAGGATCTGATGGATGTATGAATCCCATATTTCACTGCCTTCAAAGGAATTTGCTGTTGCAAATAGCAGTTAATTCTGCAATAAAGGTCCTAGGTGTTGATATCTGTCTTCTAAAATAATTGCAACAAAGCAGATTGATTTTAGAGGGGGGATTTCCCGAGCTTTTGTTCCTGAACACACAGAGAAGCAACCTGAGTGGTGCTGTGTGCTAATGAGGGATTTCAGCCCCTGTTCTCCATACAGAGCTTACTGGCAGCCACTTCACCCACCCTTCACGTTTTAAACCTGAGGGTAACACATGTAACTATCTAGTTTGGTCACCAAAAATCAAATGTGTCCTTCCTCTGCTGCCCATATCAGCCAAAATCCCTTTTTCTGACCTCCAAATCTGAACCTTCCTGACTCAAAGCAAGCCAGGGCAGAACCAGGGCTGTGTCTCTCCCCAGGCTTGGCTGGAGCTGCTGCCAGCACCAAGAAATGGCTGGTGAGGGATGCCACAGACCACAACATCTTGCCCGGTCTTGCACAACGATCTGGCTCCAAGCGATGGAAAAATTAACCAAGACAGATCAGACATGATTCAACCCTTCAGAAGCATAATCCTTCACAAAACCACAGACCACTCATCGGCCTCTTCCACCCACAGAAGGCGCCTGACACGAGTGTCTCCTGCGAGCAGGGTGCCCTTGGCCAATGTTTGCAACAAATCTGGTTGCCTGCAGGAGGAATGGCTGAAAACATATCCCTGGAGGAAGTCATTGCATGGCTTTTCATGCAGCCTGGACAGGTCACTGCAGCTCTGCTCCTGTGGCCCACCAGCACATCTCTGTCACTGTGATATTTTCTGAAAAATCCCTTCGCCAGGATTTCTTCTCCTGGGTAGATGAGAAGCCTCAGCTTCTCCATGTTTTGCTCCTCTGGAATGTGGTCTGGAGATTGTTTATCCAAACATGTAAATTGTTTTTAAGTAATGACCAATCATCATCAGCTGTGTCAGACTCTGAGGAGTCAGTCATGAGCTTTCATTATCATTCTTGTTTAGCCTTCTGATGTATCTTTTTCCTTCTTTAGTATAGATTTAGTATATAATTTCTATATAATATCATATCATATCAATCAGCCTTCTGAGAACATGGAGTCAAATTCTCATCTCTCACCTCGTCCGGGGGACCTCACAAACACCACACATCTACAGAGCATGTGCTGGACAGACCAGCAGAAGAAGGAAACCTCTGGGCCAGAGGACAGGGAGTGGGAGGACAGAGCCAACATGGGCTGCATTTTAACTGCCAGGTCAGCCTTTGGATGGAGCATCCTGACCTGGGTCTCCCATCACATTCGGGTACATTGCCTCACATTTCTTCTCCCTCTCCAAAGTCCCTTTCCCACTCTATGCTATCACCCACACTCCTAAAAAGACTGTACTGCACCTTCAGGTTGAACCTGAACACCAAGGCAGCAGCTCCAGCCCCACACTGGAGCAGCCAGTTCATTCCTACACGTTCCTTCACACCCACCAGTGCTCTGCCTGACGAGCACTGCCAACAAGGGTCATCTACAAACACAGCAGTAGTTCAGAAAGCACACTAGACAGCTAGCACTGTTATCTTACACCCAAACTGCCCCAAAAAACACCATCCAGCCATCCTTGCAGTCTTCCTAAAATGCAATGTATGCCTGCCCCAAGCAGCTTCCTGCCTGCATGCCTTCAGTGCCACACAAGGCTCTTTGTTGCCACAAAGATTTACTCCTCTCTCAAATGATCCCTAGTTTCAGAAAATGAACAAGTTTCTCATTTCCTGCCCTGGATTACTGAGCAGTTTCCTATCAGGCAAACCCTGAGAGAAAAGTGTCTCCAGCAAAAGCCAGCCAGAGCAGTGCCAGTGACCACAGCCCAGCTGCCAGACGTGGCACCAACCAGCAGGGCCAGCTTCTGAGCAAATCCTGAGTAACAGGAACAGAAAAAGCCAGTCGTCCAAACCCAAAAGCCCTTCCAGTAATGTGACTGCTGACAAAGCTCTCACATGGAAGAATGTCTGCTGCCAACAGAGGATTTCAGCCCCAAGGTGTGCCAGGGGAGCTGGTGGGTTTGGCCAACACTGAGGTGGACATTTCTTCCAAAGTGGGCCCAAAAACTTCTCAGTTGCTGTCCTGCAGTGACCAGCAGGGCCATGGAGAGTGTGCAGGAACAAAAGCCTCTATTCAGCACTGGCACTGGTACAGCAGATGCCTTGGAAGCAACTGCTGAGAAAAAGGAAAAAGGAGTTTTCACACCCCCTGAATGCCTTCCCTTTGGGCCTGGAAGGCTGACAGGGCTTCCCTGCAATGCCCTGATACAATTACAGTATTGCCCATCAGGGACCAGAATGAAACCACAAACCCATTTCCAGCAGACAAGCTAACAGCAATCAGATGGTCACAGCCCTGTTAATTTAGCTTAATGAAGAAAGCCAGTTAAGCAGGGAACCGACTCCATCGTTACCCCCTTAAGTCAGTGGCAGTGGTTTTGAGAAAAAAGCACTTCAACCTACGCTTCAGCTGGTGTTTCTGGAATGACTTCAATGACATAGGCCCCAGAGACAACATCAGGGAAGTCTTTATGGCGATCCTTCAGCTCTCTAGCTTTGCTGAAAAATGAAGAAATAGCAAAAAAAATATTTTGTCAAGACAGGAAAAAACCCCCCCACGCATTTTGCTGAAGTCACTTAACACGAGTTGAGGTGTTTTACACACATTGGTATGTCACTTCAGCATTCATTTTAACCCTTAGATGCATATTTCAGGAATTACTACATTTTTTTTTTTGCATGCATGCAGCTTTTTAATGTCTATTTCTGGTAAAGGCAATCATTTTAATAGACACAGACAATCAGAGTTCAAACATTTCAAAGCTTTAGAAATAGCAGATTGTAGAATCACAAACTGGTTTGGTTTGGAAGGGACCTTAAATCCCATCCAGTCCTCACCCCTGCCATGGGCAGGGATAATTTATACTAACCCAGAATGCTTCAAACCCTGTCCAACCTGGCCTTGGGCACTGCCAGGGATCCAGGGGCAGCCCCAGCTGCTCTGGGGACCCTGTGCCAGGGTCTCCCTACACTCATAGGGAAGATTTTTTCCCTAATATCTAATCTAAACCCACTCTCTGTCAGTTTGAAGCCATCCCCCTCATCCTGTCACTCCAGGCCCTTTGTAAATAGTCCCTCTCCATCATTCTGTCAGGCTCCCTTCAGGTCACAATTGGGTCAAGCCCAAAGCTCCTCTACTCCAAGCTTGACAATCCCAATTCTCCCAGCCTTTCCTCATGGCAGAGCTGCTCCATCCCTTTGATCATCTGTGGGGCTTCCTCTGGACTGGCTCCAGCAGGTCCATGACCTTCCTGTGCTGGGGACCCCAGAGCTGGATGCAGAACTCCAGGTGGGGTCTCCTCAGAGCAGATTAGAGGGACAGAATCACCTCCTGCAATCCTGAGCACCTAAAAAACCCCAACCCCGTGTGTTTCAATGCTTTGTTCTACCTGTGGATCCTGCACAAGGGAAAACTTCTGGTTATCTTTACAGGACACGGCATTGCCTGCTCATGAGTCTCTTATAGCCAGAGCATGAATAAGCAAGTCCACACAAAAGCTTCATTTGACATTGAGTGAAGAGTTTAATGAAAATAACTTTATAGGAATGTAGGAACGCACGTGGCTGACGTAAGCCATGAAAACGTACAACAACATGGATACAACCCCAGGACAGAGCCACAGTCACCAGCTACTCTCTTCTGAAGCATTAAGGAGAAGAAAAAGGAGCTGTTTAAGAGCTAGCTCACAGGAGAGTCTAGAGGAGAGTCCCACCAGGTGACAGCCGCAGAGGAGGAGGTGGCCAGGGCTGGCTGGGTTTGTCACCAGCACACATCCAAATCCACGTCCCCGGCTGGATCCAAATGCATGCAGAGACCACGCTGGGGAAAGGTGAGGAGCCACCCTGGGTACTTACCTGGGGGTTAGTGACATCATTCTTATGCCAATGTATTTCTTTTTGGTTACAGCTTTTCCTGCAAAAAGGAAAACGGGTCGTGATCAGTTGCCCTGACCCGAAGAGCCTCTGGCTTTCAAAACTTTGTCTTCCACTTGTTCAGACTGTTTCACTTTATGAAACAACATGAGCTCACACACTGCTGCTCTCTAGGTGAAAAAAGGGAAGTTTATTTTCTGGCTCCAACATTTATAGATTTCCAAAAGTGACAGTGGATTGGAGGGTGACAGTGCCACCTCTCCAATGACACTGGGCAAACCAACAGTCCAGCAAATTTCTCTTCTTCCATACAAGAATGCAAAACAAGAAGTTATTTACAGTAAGTGTAAGAGAAAGTTTGTTACAAGAATGTAAACATCAGAAGGCTTAGAGAATCTTAAAAAAAATCAAAGTGACAGTTCAGACTTTCGAGATTTATACTTTTTTTTTCTATTTTTTACTTGTTTGGCTTGCTTGATAGCAACACATTTTATAGTTGCTTGGTAGCACACATTTTATAGTTATGGATAACTTGAGAAATACTGTTTATGGTTAAATTTACTTTTTGGTTTTGTATTTACTTATAGGTGGCATTTTTATTTTGATGGTCTGAGGAATTATGGGTTTATTGAGTTAGGAATAACTTTTTGGTGTATTTTTAATTTAGGTCGAATTTTGATGCTCTTATTTTTGCAGTTTGGTTTATTTGCTTATTGTTCTGGTGCTTTTTATTAGTTTTATTTTTGGGAATATGGGCATTTATATGGCAGACTTTTACAAGCAGTTTTTTTATTTGGTAGTGATGTTTTTTTACTCAGCAGCAGCTTAAATTGTTTTGTTTTTTTTTACACTGCTAGTTAGCTTTTTTTTACTTTTTTAGCCATTCTCAGAGTGTTGGTCACTATTTATGAATTAGTGTGGAGGTAGAGTTTTGGCTACTTTTTTTTTAAAATCTCAATGCCAGCCAGGCTGCTGCCTTTCTGATTTATCACTGTTTTCACAGAATGGTTTGGGTTGGAAGGGACCTTAAAGGTCACTTATTTCCAACCCCCTGGCATGGGCTGTGATGCCACCTACTAGATCAGGTTATTTTCTGGTTTTCCTCTTCCCAAGTACAGTACCTTTAGCTTGTCTGTCATGGGATTCAGTGAGGAACTTCTTTATTTTATCGGATGGGATAGCAAATGAGATTCCTGCTGTAACTTTTAATGTGTTAATTCCAATGACTTCACCGTCCTGGAGAGAAAACAAAAAAAAAGCCATTATTAGCAAATATGGAATAGCTCAAAAAGAAATGAGAGAAATGGATAATTTCTTCCAAGCAGTCACAAATTCCTATTTTGTAGCTGGTCTTCAATTTTCTTAAGTTTTAAGAGTAATTTTTTGTGTCTATTGATAAAACACCACTTAGGAATTTTGGAAAATCAGTGTGATTATTCATCTTGCTGCAGAAGAGATAAAACTGGGCAATTCTCATGCTTGCAGCAGATGAGCAACACGTTCTGCAGCTATTCTGTGTTTATTTCAGCAAGGACCACATAAAGCATGGCACTGACTGTTCCTGAGCCACTATTACATTATAACATAAAGAAAAATACAGTTTGCCAAAATCAAAAGTTTTCCTGGCAAAATAACTCCAGGAGCTTTGGATGAAACATCTCTGATGTCATCTCTTTTGAAACCTCAGCAGTTTCATTCTCTGGTTCGTCCCAGACAAAAACTCTCTAACTACAGGTGGTTTTAAGTGAAGATTAAGTGTGACTGAATGTGTGCTGTGAATTGGGTGGGGAAAAAAACCTGCCAAATCTCCTCCAAGGCAGAAACTCTGAGTAGCTGTGAGTTTCAGTCTGTGCCATGCCTCCTGGGGACTCAACCCCATGTACCCTCAGGAGACCTGGGAGCTCTCACACAGTTTTGCAACCTGCTTCAGTTCATTTTACAGTACTGGCAAAGAAACCCTAATACCCTGAAAATATGATTTTTTCAGTGTGATTCAAAATGAAAGGGGAGATACATTTTGGAAATATTTAGCTGAGTTTCTGTGTGAAAAGAAAATAATTGCCTGCTTCGGGGTAAACAGCAATGGCAAACACCTCACTGTAAAATGTGTTTTTCCCTTTTTGCAAGGCTTGAGCAAAGAAAACATTACACTTGTTTGAAACTATGCAAACCATAAACATCCTAAATATTGAAATCCAAATGTAGCGTTTTGCCAACATAAACACAGACAACTGATTAGTAAGGACCATGTGAATTTTGTGCAGTCAGCCAGATATCAAAAGCTGCAAATCCCACATCTGGTGGGGGGAGTTTGATTTTTTTTGTTGGTTTGGGTGGGGTATATTGTTTGGTTTTATTTTTTAAATCAAACAGCAATAAGCTTGACACTAAGCAAACTTAGAGAAACTCTTACCAGATTTACTAGGGGTCCTCCAGAGTTCCCATACTGAAAATAAACATAAGAACACATTTTAGTATTTACCTCCTAATCTGTTGCAAGCAAAATATAAAAGAAATTTTTGCAAAATTTCTGTAGTGCTGCTTCCATTGTCTATTAAATTCATGCAATAGAACAGTTTTAAATAAACCATAAACCACTGTTTAACATCACCCTTTTAGCTGAGCTTTGCAAATACTTTAAGATTTTCTTCTCCTGCCAGAGTAAGTTAAGAAAGCCAAAGTTTTCTTTTGTTTTTTTAGTGCCACACTAGAAACTGAGAGGATTTTAGGACAGCTCTGGGAGCTGTTAGTGAAGATTTCTTACCAGGCCAAGATCTGAAGTACAAAACCTATTGTTTTGCCTTAATGCAGAAACAAACTTGAACCCTTAAATGAATCTTGGTTTCTTTTTCAGAAAACAAGATGGATTTCAAAAAGATAGTTATTTGCCAGAGAATATTGCCTCCTCCCTTGCAATCTGCAAGGATTCTGAAGTGAAGGCAGATGCTGTGCCTGGTGTGGCTCCTTGGGGGGATTTCTCAGTAACACCAAGCGCTCCTGCGGCGCAGATGCCCAGATCTACAGGGAGAGAAATGCTCCCTGCTCCTCAGAAGGGCATCACAGGGGGGATTTCTGCTGGGGAAAGGCCAGGGCTGAGGGCAGCAGCCCAGAGGGGACGTACATTGATGATGGCATCTGTCTGGATGTAGTCCATGTCGGAGTTGCGCAGCCCCAGCTCCTTCCCCCCGCGCTGCGTGGTGCTGACGATGCCCGTGGTCACCGTGTTCTGCAGGGAAAAGGGGCTGCCAATGGCCACCACAAACTCCCCTGGCCTCAGGTCTGCAGACTGGCCCAGCAGGAGAACTGGCAATTTACCCTGCAAAAAAAAGAAACCAAAAAAAAGAGAAAATTCGGATGTTAAGACACCGCTCTGCTGGCAGAACAAATGTTACAGAAGGATGAATGCATTCACAGGGTAGAGGAAAAGAGAGAGAGAGGCTTTTATCCCTCAGGGATTTTGTTCTGTTTTCTTTGAGTATTCTGTGTGTGGGTTGGTACAGAAACAACCAGTGTGGGCTCTTTACACTGGAGAACTTTTTCCACAACAGGTACCCTTAAAATCAAGAACAATTAAAAGACCAAAGGAATATTTATGCTTTGCTGTACAAAGCAAACATCTGATGATACTAGAAATGAGCCACTTCCAACACTCCTTGAAATAATTAGCAAACAGCTGCTGAAGTAAAAATATGATATTGTTTGAGAGTGAACACTAAAGAGTCATGAAGGCAACAACCCAAGAGTTTTAAGCATGTACGAGTACAGTTAAAAGCATTTTATATTCTCATAAGGCACCAGCTGATGATTCATCTAAATTTCTTTTAATGAAGTATCTTTCTAAATAATCATATTGCCTCCTACATACAGTGATATCTTCCTCTGAAGATGTTAGGATTTAAGGACCTGATGTGATTTTTCTGTCATGACAGCAGAGGATACCATTATACTTTTATTTCAAGATCTTATCTCTAAACACAATAAATATTACATAGTTGAAGACATTCCCACTAAAACATTCTTAAAATCCAGCAAACACTGCATTGTACAGCAATCAGAAATAAAAAAGGGGAGGGGAGGTTGGATCCACACATTTGTTAATGAATCAAGAGTGTTCTGAAACAGATCATACTTCAAATACTTTTTTTATTCATCACCTGCCCGTACAATACACATTGAGTGCCATTTCTCCCTTTCTTCACACTTTTAAAAGTCAATCTCTACACTTACAGTGATGTGACACATTTTTAAATATTTTTGTTTTATCTGTTGTCTAAATTATCCTGGCCCTCCCCAGGTAATTAAACCATATATTTAACCCATGGTATTTAACCATGTCACTAGACCATTTCTATTAGCATCAATGAACACATATAAGTGCAGGTTTAGACTTAAGGATTTGGAGGATTAGGTTACTGAACCCAAAAATCAAAACAGAATTCTGGAGACATTTATCTTTTGCTTATCAAAGCTAACTTGAACCTAGCTTTCCTCTAAGCTTGACCTACTTCAAATTTTGGCAAAAAAGGGAGAATATTGCATGTTTAATTTGGAAACTCATTGCTGGCTCTGGTTTTGTTACCAGCAGTTTGAAAGCCTGACTCAATAACTCATCCATAGGGACAAAAATTCAGTGTTATAAACTAACACAAATTCCCATCACTTTGTGTTTTTCACCTACAGTTTATTTCAAATATCCTAAGAGACAGACAATGCCTGCAAAGTAGAAAGCTAAAAATAATGTCATCAGTTATCACTATATGCTGCTGCAAATACAGAAGTCATGGTTTTAATGTTTAACAAGACTGGTCTTGTGTATCCTTTATTCAGCTTTGTTACAATCCCACCAGGGAAGTTTTACTCAGATGAGCAGATTGTTTCAATAAAATTCATTGCCAGCTCCCAGACATGGCAAGATGCTTTATGGAAACTTATCTTTCAGTCTCCAGACAGCAAGAAAATAATTAAACCAACAGAGTGAGCTGGGAGAGCCACAGAATAGGCAGCACAGAAAGGGAGAAAGCATTTCCATGTCTATTTGCATTCAGAGGAAAGTTATCACAGCCAGCAATGCCCTACTAATGAATAATAATGATAAAATACAGTCCTTATCAGTGCCACAGATAAACCCAGCTGTGGCTTAGCTCTGGGAAGGATCCAGCAGCTCTGCCCAGCTTCCCCTTCCCTTCTGCATCCCAGGGCAGCCCCTGATCCCAGGCACAGCTCCAGGGGATGAGTCCAGGGCAGGGGAATCAGGGAATCAGGCAGTGATCATCTAACACAAACAGCCCCATCTGGGTCATGTTTGGACACAGGGAGCACCCTGGCCCTTCCTCCTCTCAGCAGATGCTATTGAGCTTACGTAGCACGTGTTTGCAAGATGTCATTGGTCAAACCAGCATCTTCTTTTGGCACTGCTTTTCCTTCTTAAAAAAAAAAAAAAAGACAACACACAAAAGACAAAAAGTGGCTTTTGTTTGTATCCCAGTGCACTGAACACAGATACTTTGCAGAGAAAGGGGACATTTATCAGCAAATGAAACAGAGACAAGCAACAGAAAACAGAATAGTTTTCATGTGTCATTACCAGGGAAAAAAAAAAATAAAGGCTGGTCGTGTACAAAGTTAAAATATTTATACAAAGTTCCTGAGTTGTAACAACAGTCACAAAGCCAAAATTGCATCTGGCAGCAGAGAGAAAGTACAGGAATGGCCTGTGACTAATACAATTGTGATTGTGCTGAGTTTTCAGGGCTGTGCCTATACTAGCCAGGCTGCAGTTCAAGCTCTGATGCTGTATGGATTGGCTGCAGGTCACCCCTGTGATTCAACATGCCTTCTGGAAAGTCTGGCTAACCTTTCCCTTGCTAGAAACAAAAATCCGCTGCAAAAACCTCCTGGTCCTGCACAAATCATGAAACACAGCTTTGGAAAATGTGTCCTGTGTTCCTGGTGATTTCGTGGTGTGGGGCAGAACTGACACACTGATGGCACTGCATGCAAATACATGAGTGCCCCTACAAAACCAAGGCTATGAAGAATTGGGTATGATGAATAGATGTGTTGTCATGGCTTTAAATTTGGGGCATTTTCTCTAAAATGGCTTAAAACATTTCCACACTCAGTAGTAAATTTTCCATTATAAAAAAAACCAAAACAAACTCAAATATTAATTACATTGTGCACGTGGTTTTGAAATGAAACCAGTATAAAACCTATGAAAATCCCATGATGGAGTGGGAAAACATCCTTCTGCAGCCCAGGAGGAGCCCTGGCAATGCCAGGCAGGCACTGCTGGCAGTGCTGTAGCCAGGATCATGTCAGAACACCCCCTCTGTGCCCTCACACCCTGCCACTGGCAGGCTCATCCCCAGGAAATTCAGGAATCCTGGTAAAATGAGTGTTACTTCAGGGCTCCTAATAACTATACTTAATAAATGTGCATTCTTCAATCTTTACATAATGTCTGATGGCTGTCAGGATGACATAAGCACCGCTCCAACTCGTGATTCTCCTGCTTTGACTGCAGATTTGCCACTGCAGTTAATTAAAAGTGCCAGGCAAAGGACCATGCCTTGCAGCACAGGCAGCAGGGAGCCAGGAACACCCAAACCCAGCTCTCCCAGTGACTCACTGCATGGCTTTGGGCAACATATAATACCTTTCCTACCCCTGTCTTTTCTAACTCTTGCTTTGATGAAGCCTCGGGGCTCTGCTGGATCCCTGTTTACTCCATGAAACAAATCTGCAGGCAGGCATTCTGCAAGCACACAGAAATAGGACCAAACATGCAAACCCCTAAGTGGCACATGACTCACTGTTTACACCCAGCCAGAGAAGGAGCCATTAATTTGGGTTAATATTTTAAGACTTTCACATCCCAAAGGGCTTCAGACGTTTTTATATATGGATTTGACTCCAACCCTGGATAAACACAACTCCCACGACATGGAGAGCTGCACACCACCACAAGAAATGGCTCCAGCCAACAATAGGACACAGCTATTGTGGCATGAAGAGGGGGAGAGATCAGCATCATCAGCCAGAGGGGACTCAGAGAAACATGGAATCATTTAGGTTGGAAAATGTCACAGACATCTTTTATGAAAAATCCTTTCCTTAGGATTTTTCCTCCTGAGAAGCTGAGAGGCCTCAGGAACAAAATGTAACCAATGGTTATCTGCTGCTGTGGAATGCAACAGGGGCATCTGGGATTGGGCTCATGTGGTTGTTTCTGATTAATGGCCAATCACAGTCAGCTGGCTCAGACAGAGAGTCCAAGCCACAAACCTTTGTTATCATTCTTTCTTTTTCTATTCTTAGCTATCCTGCTGATGAAATCCTTTCTTCTATTCTTTTAGTATAGTTTTAATATAATATATATCATAAATAATAAATCAAGCCTTCTGAAATACTGAGTCAGATCCTCGTCAGATCCTTGTCTCTTCCCTCATCCTAAGGCCCCTGTGAACACGGTCACAGGAAAAGACCTCTGAGATTGTGGAGCCCAACCACTAAGCCAGCACTGCCAAGGCCACCACTAACCCAGTGTCCCCAAGTGCTGCATCCACATGGCTTTTATTTTCCTCCAGGAATGGGGATTCCAACACTGCCCTTCTATGAGGAAATTTATCCCAATGTCCACCCTGAGCTGCCCTGGCCCAGCCTGAGGCCGTTCCCTCTGCTCCTGTCCCTGTGCCCTGGAGCAGAGCCCAATCCCCCCGGCTGTGCCCTCCTGGCAGGAGCTGTGCAGAGCCACAAGGGCCCCCTGAGCCTCCTTTGCTCCAGGCTCAGCCCCTGCCCAGCTCCCTCAGCCTCTCCTGGGGCTCCTGACCCTTCCCCAGCTCCATTCCCTGCCCTGGACACGCTCCAGCCCCTCCATGTCCTTCTTGCAGTGAAGGACCCAAAATCACCCCAGGATTCAAGGTGCAGCCCCAGCAGGGCCAGCACAGATATCCACCTGGTGTCCTTTAACAGCATTACTTGAGTCAGATAAAAGAAGTGCAATCTGGACAAAACAGCTCCAAAACTAAAAAGAGGAGGAAGCGCAAAACCACCCCCAGGCACTGCCACGGAGAAATGGAAACCAAGAGACAGCCAGCCATAAGCAGGAGGTGTTTTGGTTTGAACTTTTTCATCCATGAAATAAGTGAATGTGTCTCCATGCTGGCACAGAAGTAAATCCCTCCTCTGTTCTGTAATCCCCTCCATTTGTGGATGGAAAGTCAGGAATTTGCAGGAAGCACTTTGCAGTTCAATAAAGGGATGAAGAGGAGGCAAAAGTTCTGAGTTCAATTTCTGTTAACCAGCGACAGATCTCCTTCATGCTTCTTATTTTTTAGGTGGGAAAGGCACAGATGAACACTAATTCAGCTGTGAATGTAACTCTGGCAAAACATGTAACTGTCCTGGGAATTGCATTTCTGTTCTGACTAATTCAGCTTTCAGAATACGTTATGGCAAAACAAAAACAACAGTCATGAGCACATAAAAATATAGAATATCATCTACAATCTAGAAACTGCTTGACAGAGAGTCAAAGAAAACAAAAAACCCAGGCTGAACACATTACAAGCCTCCAAAAGTATTTCATCTATAGTTAGAAAAGCAAAACTGAGTCTCCTTATCTAAATATGGAGCATGGGAAGCTTGCAGAAAAAAAAAAGAAGAAAAGGATGAAGTGTTGTTTTGATATGTCACCAGCTTTTCAATTGCCTGGCAAGAGATTGCTGTTCTCCCTTAAAAATAAAATACAAATGAAATTACAATTAAATAAAATAAAAATAGCAATTAAAAATATGCTGGTGCTGGCAGACCCACCCTGGAGATGTGAGCATTTTACTGCATGGGAAGCTGGACCAGCACATTGTCCTCACAGTGAGGGCTACTAGAAGCTGAAGATGTCAGGAAACCATTGCTGCCTAAACTGATGAATAAACTGGAGTTAAGATCCAAGCTTTTTACAAGATATTTCATTCCTATGGGTCCTGAACACTTCTGGAAGCAATATGTGGGCTTCCTCAGGCTCTCAAGAGGAAGCAGCATGTTATCCAGCCACAGATTTCAAAGTGAAATAGCATTTCAGAAAAGCCACTTACATCTGGTGTCCAAGTAGTTTGTTTCTTCAAAATGTGGGCTATTAAAATATTGATGCATAAACAGAGAAGTTTGCTTTCCTGCCTCCTCCAGTTTGTACACACAGGGGAAAATCAAATCCCCTCTGACCACAAAGATACAGACACTCTCTGCCTCAGGAAACCACCAGGGCAACGAGGGCAGGAGGTCTTGTTGATTTAAGAGTCAAACAGAGTGTTTATTAGTAAGATACAGGAGAAGCCTTAAGCTGAAGCCTTAAGGTGAAGGGCTGAAATGTCACCACAAATTAGAGATGGGTCACAACCCCACTGCTGCTGCACAATGAAGATGCCAAATCCTGTCTGGGGTAAAGAACCAGGAGCTGGCCACACTGAGGAGCAAAACTCTTCAGGACCTGGCCTGTGTTCCCTGTGTGATTTCAGGGTCAGTGTCTCATGGCTGCTTTTTGAGCACGTAGAAAGAAGAAACACCTCGAGATAAAGCCATTCACCCTGCTCCCCCCATTATTTTTGTGGGCAGAGCTCGATTTCCAGGGCTGAAAAGGGTCTCCAGGCAAAAGCCACCTCCACCTTCCACTACTTTGGGCTTCCACTTTCCATGTGGGTTGGGTTCTTGTATAATTCTGTCCCCCGTTAGCCCTGACATTGTCCATTAAACCACCCTGAAATCTCCTCCCCTCCTGCTGGTGTTTACTTTTCAGCAGCTGTATCACACATTCTGATTTAACAAGGTAGTTATTTGCCCTGAGATGAATCCCACAATGCAGCTCTGCCAGCAGAAAAGCATCTGCTCCCTTTGGAGTGTTGTGCAACAGTTTTGATGGGTTTCCCACTCGCTGCAGTATCACACGTGCCACGCAGGACGCATTATTTATTTCGCCAGTCCCTGCCTATGCTGCCAAAATCCAGCTTTTTCTAGGGAAGTCTTATAAATTTTGCATGTTCATATCCAAATTGTCTGCAACTGCACTGCTCCTTTCTAGTGATGTGGTCTCCCCCTTGCATTTGGAAGGATATTTAGATTGGATTCATGGCTACCACATTGATTCCAATCTTACTTCCTACTTTCAACACTCCAGCAAACTGCTTGGTGTCACCACAGACATGAGAAACACTGGTGCTCTCTTTTATAGACTGTAAAAACAAGCACATTTTAGGGCTGGAACAACTGCTCCAAGGTTTCTGTTCCTCATTGACTTCAAGATGTTTTTCCACAGAGAAGAATTTAATCAGGGTTCATCCTCACTGCTGCCCAGATTTTACCACCCTCTTTCATTTCCTACTGCACTCAGCAAAGCCAAATTAGTTCTAGTAATGTCTCTGACCAGATGTTCACACCTTAGAGGAAAACAGCATTCAGGCTGCTGCAAAATCTGAACAGCTGTAGGAATACCAGCTGACAGCCTGATCCCAGCTCTGTTCCTAATCACAGAGCATTCTTCACCCTTCAGATCCTGCCTTAACACGCCACACATAAAAAAGAAGAAAAAACCCTTCTGCGTCTTTGATGTCACCTTCAAATAATTTATTCCAATTAAAGAGCTTTGCGTCTTACTTCAGAAAAATTCTTAAGGATGGTTTCCATGCCATTTCCAGATTTTAAGGGGTCATTTGTACCACCCCATTGACTTCTTTAGCCAGCAAATACATTTCAAATTCAACAAATTATTACCCCTGTGATTTTAAAAAGTCTTTTATGCATCTGAATGACTGCAAGGCATTCCAGAACAAAAAGGAAAGCTCAAACACTGAACTTGAAAGGGTATATAAAAATGCCCCATAAAAGTTCAATCTGAGAATCAATTTCTCAGCTGACCACGTTTCCATTTTAACATTTTTTGTGACCATATAAAACCTTGTTTTTAATTCTCAAATGCAAAGCAACTCCTGTCCTGTGAACAGAGGTGCCTCATGCCTCGCCTTGGACTGGGATTTCCCAGTGCCAAGTCACCAGAGCTGGCTGCAAAGCTGGGTCTCCCATCCCTTTAAATTTCCCCCCAGTCTTCTCAAAATTATCCTGAGCTGCAATGGGAGAGGCCAGGAGGAGAACATCACCCAAGGCACTGCCTTGTACAGCTGATAAGATGCTTCCAAGGGCAGCTCAGACCAGTTCCAGCCCTGTTGAGCAGTGCTTTCCACCACAAGCCCATCTGAATTCTTTTTCCCAAACTGCTTCCAGGTTCTCCCTTCCCACACGCAGCTTCCCAGGACAACTAGGAGCCATTTCCTCCTTGATAATGTTATATATCAAATAACATTCAAGCCATGCCTGCTCTTTTGAGTCCTCAAACTGCCCTTCACCCCAGTTCAGTGTCTCCTCTGCCACCTCTCTCCTCTGGAGTTCAGCTTCCTGCTGCTCCAAGTCCTCTCCTCACCACATCTGCTCTCTCCTCCACCTTGTGTTTCCAATTTTAAAGCACTTTTCCAGCTGCCCTTCACTCCCCCCTGTCCATCCTGCTCATCCCAATGCTGCCAGTGCTTGTGCTGGGGATCTTTCCCTTTGCCTCTTACTGCTTTTTCTTATTTTAGGATAAAAATGAGAAAACAAGCGACGCCATGAAAACAGAGAAAAAAACAACACGGCAGAAATATTATTGGTACTCTTTGGTTTTTCTGCCCAGTTGCTGTTCAGAAGCTTTTCAAAAAGAAGAAGATTTGAAGTTATAAAGGCGGCAAGGGAGGAGCAGGAGCACTCCATCCCTCGGGTCATCCAAGAGTTCTGCGTTAGGCGCCTGGCTTAGTCATGAACTCTGGCACAAACACTCCTGACCTCGCTGGGGAATAGCCCTGCACTAAAACAATGCTGCAAGATCTACACATTTCTAAGTCATGTGTTTCAAATGAAGCATTCCTGCCCGTTACACTTGGAGGTCATCAACTGACAGAGCAAACGAGGGGAGCCAACATGAGCAGCACCCCAAAGAGCCACGTCCAGCTCATTGCAGCTCCGTTACACAGCATTTCCACACAATATCCTTCTTGCTATGTGTGCAGAACCTCCTGATAGCTTTTCTGCTGTGGCAGGAGGCACAGCAACGCTGACAGAGGAACATTTGATATGGAGGGAGATCATAGATGGGAAGCTGCTCAGAAAACCACTTGCGGTGTAAGAACATCTTTCCAAGCTGGCTTTAATTTCCATGCTCAAGACGCTCCCCAAGGTATTTTCCACTTTAGTGTCTACATCAGCAAGGGACAAATGTGTCCTCTAAAAGCCATTTCTGACTTCAATATAGGCACTCAAGACAGAGTAGTACAAGCAAAATAGCCCCATTTCTTCTCTGAGAAAGATTTAAGTAAGATAAACTGTATGCAAACCAGCCAGCAAACTGGGGTGTTGTTTTTTATTTGGGTTTGCATAAAAAAGTGCTATATAATACTTTCACTACACTGAGAGGTGTCAAAATTACCACTGCCAGCCACAAACTTGGCTTTTAAAAACGTGTATCCACCTAGTTGATATATTCTCAACAACTCAGCCCAGTAAACACCTTGTTTTTCCTTCCAACCTGAAAATCAGCGACAGTTTTTGGAAAGGAGGACGTTAAATTAGAGGAACAAAATGTGTCTCGCTTTAACGACTCACCTGAGAATCTATTTTAATTAGTGCAATGTCTGATTTTTCATCAACATCTTTAATTTTGGCTTCATACGTCTCCCCGTTCTTGAGCTCCACCTTCACCCTGTTCTTGTTGGTGACCACGTGGGCATTGGTGACGATCAGCCCATCCTCAGAGACAATGAACCCCGAGCCACTGGCTACAGGAACCTCCCTCTTGGAAAAAGGAAGTCTAAAAGACAAAGGAAATAAAAAGTTTATTGCTGCAAAAAAAGAGGAAAGGTCGCAAATAATTCCAAATAACACACAGCCAAAAGGAGTTTGGTGAGTTCTTAATGTTTTAAGATATCTGCTGTTACTCTCATTAAGAAGATAACGCACATCCATTGCTTTAGCTAATTGTTTTTCCATGACCCTTAAATTATCTTTAATTCTTAAGCATGACAAATATTTATTATCTCAAAACCCTCTTTGCTATTTCATACCATCAATCAACATTTCTGTCACACTGGCAGTTGTTTTCAAGAATTAAATAAAAAAGAAAAAAACCCCAAAACCCAAGACTGGGCATCTTGTTTACTTGCGAAATAATTCAATGTGAACCACAGCAGGGGCGATCTTCTCCACCACATCTGCAATAAAGTTGTATTTGTGCCTCAGGCTGTTGGGATGTTCTTGGCCTGAAATAGAAACAGAGGACGTGTCATGAGTTCTTCAAGTGACTGCAGGAGGGCCATTGCAAAACACCTGAATTAAAAAAAGCTCTGAGTGGGCATCTTTCCCTTCCTTAAAAGTCGTCTGCAGCATGACCCTCAGCCCTAGATTCCCTCCCCGCTTCTCTGCACAGAGGTGGAGTGCTTCATCCTCAGGGAAAATGACCCGTGGAGCCTCCTGGTGTGGAGTGCACCCCACTGGGCCATGGGGCAGCGTGGGCTCATCCCTCTGTGGTGCCAGGGATGGGGCACTGCAGGAGCACAGGGTTCATTCCCTGTCTATGAAAGGGATTTTGTACTCAGATGCCTCCCTTGCTGCCCTCCTTTTCTGGATGGTCTACTTAGCCTGGATGGTCTTCCCAGATTAAACAAACCAGCTCTGTTCCTCTGCCAAAATACGCCTTCTTGGAGGGTTTTGAAGTCTCAGGCTGCTGCATTTGTAAAATGCTGAGGACACAGAGGTCCTGACCCCAGTGTGAGCCCTCAGCAGCTGCTGAGAAAGTTTAACTTGGGTACAAGGCTGGGCTTCCTTTCCCACCAGTGTCCCCACTCAGCCTGACCCAGCAACCCCTGCCTGGCACCTACACGTGGAAGAATCTTCCACACACTCCACAAAGCCCCACTCAAGGCATCCTTCCCACCCTGAGCTTCATCAGCTCCATGGATCCCACCCTGCTTTGGAGCCACTCCCAGGGCTGTGAAATAGATAGGACAACACAATGGTTCCACAAAGCTCTGCATTCCTGGGCAGTGCTGCAACAAAAGCTCGTGGTCACTGGGTATTCAGCAGGGGCCAGTGGGGTTTTCAAATGCCACTGGATACCCAACTCCATTGTGGCCAACAGAAAACCTGTCTGCACCAAGAGAAATTTAAAATTCTCTGGGAAAAACTCACAGTTCTGAGACAGCTTCTCCTTCTCAAGCAGTTCAGGGGCAAAACATTGCTTTTTAAAATTGGGAGCAGTTATGCAAATTGGGAACACCCCAAAGAGTTATTTTGTGTTCCTTCAGAGGCGAGAAACACCCTTTGTTTTCATTTCGTTTTTATCTGGTGCATCCATCTCCTGTTATACAGGCACAAGCCAAGCCTGTTACAGGCTTTCAGAGGAGCATTAACGTGTTGTGCTACTCCCATCCATCTTTGCCATTTGGCTTCTAAATCCATGCAGAGATTAAAGCAATAAGCAGCTTGTGGACGCTGTAAGTGCCTTTGACGGTGTAAGAGGACGATTTATTTGCAGAATCATAGAAGGACTATCCCATAAACCTACCCCAATACCAAAACCCCGAATGCCCTTTGCTGTTGGAAAAACCAGAGAGGAAAGCCATGCAAATTTTCGAGCAGGCACTGGAGGCAATAATGATTTGGGAACAGAATGCCCCTGCTTTGAACACGAACCAGACACCGGTTTGGTTCAGGGGTGAGCATGTTCCAGGTGATGTCCCAGTGCCAACAGCACACACTGTCCCTCGGGAGAGGGGTGCGTGCTCCACCCAAGCACCATCTGTCACTCAGGGACAGGGGCTTTTTTCTTATTTATACCCTGTGAAACATCTCAAGGGCTTTTAAATGCAGCCAGTGACAAGCAGCAGCCGCGGCAGCAACCACAAAACCTGCTGTGCTCTTTCAGAAGTGTTTATCTGCTTTATGAAGCAGCGACACTGATCAGGAAACTTTTGTCCTCACCTCACTGTTTTCCTCAAGAGTATTCAGTGCTTTCTGATTTACAGATGAGCTGCTGCCCTTGGGCTTTCACCCCACAGAGGCAAAAGGGCTTGCTGATTGAGAAATATCAATTTACCAAACGATTTATATTCCCTACTAGAAATATTCAGTATCCAACGAGTCATGTCATTGCTGTAAAGCTGACAATTATCACAGGGACAGTTCTGGGAAGCTGCTACAATAAGAAAAGCAGTCTGGAATTATCCACTTGCATTAAATAGGTGCTTGGACAGATTATCAGGTGGGATTAACGTGGTGCTGGGCTAAAACTCCACAGGGCACTGCTGCAGCCATGGATCTGCTTTTTGATCACTGCTTATAAAATGATTTCATCTCAGCTGCAATGCTGTAGACATCCAAAGGTCACATCCTGCCCTTGGGAAAAGAAAAAAAAAAAGCTCCACGGATGAGGGAGCTACACAGGCAAAGCACAGTTGGTTTTTTTTTTCATGCCTTCAATCTTTTTTGCTTTTAGCTATTGAAGAAGAAAAAGGATGCCCAGGCTGTACATGGTGAGACTGCTAATACCTCATCTCAGAGCTGCCTTCCCTTGAAACTGGAGCCTACAAAAGCCAGGATTTCAGAGGCAGCAGTATTTTGTCCATGATCCACCCCCTCATGCAGTCCCAAACTCAACTGCAGAGTGAAGAAAAAAAAGTTCAGAATTTCCTACTTTTGAAAAAGTTAGATAATAAATTCTAATTCATGGCATACTGACCCAAAAAGCTCCCAGCAGCTGGCCACGCCTGCCTATTGCTTATGTATTAGGAATTCCTGCATTGTGTAACACAGTTTTGCAACTGCTCTTGAACCACTGCCCATTTAAATGGAAAACATACCTTTTTAAAGCAAAAAAACAACAATCAAAGCACTGATCTTGATGGATTCATCGATGAATGTTAACAAAAAAAAAATCCTGTAAACTGGTCTTTGCCATCAACATAAAACCTGAAGGCTGTAGTAAAAGTATTGATACACTGAAAATTCTTTTATCACTGAGATTAAGAATAATGGAGGGCAAAAAAAAAAAAAAAAAAAGCTGATTTTTCTTTGGGATTACTGAGCTGCACATGGGGAGCTGAGAGCTGCACTGATCTTTCCTACAAGAAACCACCTCTGTGTGTGAAATTTTGCCTAACATTTGAACCCAGGCACAAAGGACCACGTGGAAGCTTAAATGGCCATAAAAACACCAACATTACAAATTTAATGTGGGCAGATGCTCGTTCCTCAACTACCACAGGGCAGTTTCCAGCAGTGAAACTGAGAACTTCACCAGGAATATTTTCCTCTTCCTTCTGACACATCTATTTTCCAGCTGTAGCAATAGCTCAGGGCCTGTTGGTAACAAATATATGTTTTTTTTGTTTTGGTTTGGGGGAGATTTTTTTTTGTGGGGGTGGTGTTGTTTTGGTTTGCTTCTAAATCATTGAGAGTTGGGCTTGAATAAAGCTCAAATTCTTAAATACCTTCAGGCTCTGATGTTCAAACCTTCCCAGACTGCTCCTCTTTCTATTTATATGCTGTGATTATTGTGTTTTGTAATGTTTTTACTGAACTATTGCACAATGCCCTAAAATGCCCACGAGCACGGCTAAGAAACCTTATTAATTGCATTATAAAGATGATTGTTGTGAATTCAGTTAATGACAAAAAAACACCAAAAAATATAAATAGGTTATAGCATGAAAAATTCCCAAGGCAACTAAATTCTTCAAGGACTTCAAAGGTGTGCTGGCTGCCAGCCCTGAAATGAGAAGGCAAATCTCTGCCAACTGGCATTAGCAGGGCTAATAATCAGTAAACAGACTGCTAGGAGAGCAAGACAGAGTACCAAGCCATGAAAAAAAGCACACCCAGCTGTAAACAACTGAAGTAATTTGGTTTCATAAAGAGGAGCCAAAAAGCAAATTAAGATCTGTGTTCTGGTTAGGTCATTACTCAAAGTGGCATCGATGCAATGATGCTCACAGCTCACACATGCTGCTTTTGGTGGTTATTTTGAGCTGAACTGAGGAGATGCTTTGGAGATAGAAATCTCACCAAAGTGACCTCTCCCCTTCTGCTGGGAGGGCTGTCTGCTGCTCTGGAAGGGCTGCTCTTGGCATAGAGAAGGGAGCAGGTCTTCAAACAAAGCTTTGGGCACATCTCAGTCAGGCATGGGGCTTTTCCCCACTCAGTTTTCACCCCTTTTCCCTTTTCAAAAAGGGGGTTCAGCTTTCCTTCCCAGTGACTGAGGTGAGGAGCAAAATAATTGTCCCATTTAACAGGATTTTTTTGTCTTAGACATGGTGAAAGGGATAAAAAGGCACATCCCAGCAATTCTGTGCCACCCTCACTGAAGGGCTGGGATAACTAAAGACATTAAACTGCCCAGGCTGCTGAAAATAGGTGAGATGATTTCCTCCTGCACTCACCACTTGTTTAGACACACACAGGGGTTTGAAAGGATGGCTTGGGATTCTCTGCAGAACGAAACCAAAAGAGCTGCAGCGCTCACGAAACCTCCGGGCTGCCAGAACCGGTGACTACTGACACAAACCACAAACCAAGTTTTGCTTGGAGAACTTCCACCCTTCCCAAATAAAACTCCAGCCTCTGGTGTTTGTACAAACTTCCATTCATGCCATAAAAACCTCCAAACCTCTGACAAGGGAGACAAAGAAACTCCAGCAAAGGTGCTCAGCTCACCGAAAGCAGGGGGATCAGCAAGCCCTGCTGGAGAGAGACAAGGGGAAAAGTGTGGGAATCTGCTGCCACACTTTCTTTTTTTGAATTACAGAAAGCTGCAAGCCTAAATATTCCACTTCCTATTCAAGGATAAGTTGTGTAATTCACCAAAAAAAGGGTATTACGCAATGAAAACACTAAGAAAATAAGGAACAACACTCGACGTGTCACAGGCAATTTGCTCAAGAGCAACTCTTAGGTCATTGGAGGGAATTTTGAGAGGTCTAAACCACAGCACCTTGTTAACACAGATGCTATTGCATCAGTTATTTTTCCCCTGTATAATCCATGCAGAAACTCAAGACACCTCACAGATTTCTGGGAGGAAAGTCTGCATTACTGTGACTTCCCTAAAAGCAAAAATACTTTCATAGCCCTAAATAATGGTAAAATAAAATGCTTGAAATCTCTCCAAACAGTAAACTGCACAAATCTGGTCTTCATTTAAAATATTTCCTGCAGCAAGAACCACTGCAAGATTAAAGGGAGGACTTTAAGTGAAATTGCTATT